GTGACGAAATCACTTCAGTGAGATCTGACAGACAGCGTGACGAAATCACTTCAGTGAGATCTGACAGACAGTGTGATGAAATCAGGATTTTGTGTAAGCTAGCTCTCAAGAAATGTTTTTTGATTTATTAATGTTTTATAACCTATTTTAAATTTCATATTGCCAATATTCTTCAACATTACTACACAGATGACTCTAAAATCTGTATCTTTAGCTCTCAAATCTGTATTGCTAGCCCTAAAATTCCCTCTGAGTTCTAAATATCCAATTGTCTACCACACATTCCCACTTTCTCCAAAAAGCGGAATTTTTCATTTACTTTCATCAACTACATGCATTAGCTTCTACGTTGTTTTACAGAGTTAGTATAAATGCCTTCTCACTCTCCCGTGATAAATAAGCTTCTGAAGTCAGAAAATCTCACTCATATTCATATCTTCCACTGGCCCTGAAGAGACCTCATGACACAAAAGTAATCAGTAAATAATAACAGTATCTGCAGAGTTTTATTAAGTTTTATAAAATATCTTCATATATATATATTGCCTTAAAAACTGATCCTGTTTATTCTGGATGAAAGCCTGGGCTAAAACTTAATATAGTCTTTGATAGATTATATCCTCTGTGGAAACAGTCATGTTATTTATTTATGAAGTCAAATGATAAGTAAATATCCAAATATCCAAATTTATTTGCACTACATGGCCCTAGAGTGATGGAGCGTGCCACCATGCAGCCAGTCCCCATGCAGGTATCATGAAGCAAGGGCTCTAATGGGTGAGGACCATCTCTTTCCTGAAGCTTCACTCCACATAGCACTGAGTGGCCTACATGGAAGGCACTGGGCGTGGGCACCAGGCGACGGCAACGTGAAGGCCTGCCTCAGAGAAGCTGCAGAGACCTCTGCAGAAACGCACATGAGTAGGGCAAAGCAGGACTGCCTCCAAGATGAGACAGAAACAGAACACAAAGAAAAAAGCAGCCTCAACCTTTCAGTAGATGAGCCTCCGGGAGGTCGCTCTTGTGGTCAGAGCCCCTGATCTGGAGCGGTAAGTCTGGGGGTGAGGAACAAAGTAAGAAGAAAGACAAGCAAGTTCTGGAGCTGACAAGAAGCCTAAATTTCACTGAGGGACCCAAACAGGGAACACACCAAAGAGGAGGGCAGGGTTAGCACCCGAGGCCTTGCTGCCACGTGAAGAAGATGAACTCCATCTGGCAGGCAGCAGGACATCATCAAGGAGGTTAAACGAATGAAGAAAACCATAAATAACTTAACAATATCAGTTTAGAAAATAATCAGTGGGGTCAGGTATGGTGGCTCACACCTGTAATCCCAAAACTTTGGAGGGCCGAGGCAGAAGGATGACTTATGCCCAGGAGTTCCAGATCAGCCCGGTCAACATGGCAAGACTCTGTCTCTACAAGAAAAAAAAAAAATGTAAAAAGGAGCCAGGTGTAGTAGCACACACCTGTGGTCCCAGCTACTCAGGGGGGCTGAGGTGGGAGAATCGCTTGAGCCTGGGGATTGAGGCTGCAGTGAGCTATGATCGCACCACTGCACTCCAGCCTGGGCAACAGAGAGAGACCCTGTCTCAAAAAAAAAAAAAAAAAAAAAAAAACTAAAAAAAAGAATCTGCAGGACTGTGAGAGTGAAATTTGAGAAGGAGGAAGAATCGTGAGATGAGCTCGGGTGGGCCGAGGAGCCAGGCGGGGCTTCTCAGTTTGGACAGGAAGAGCACGAGGTCAGCTGGCTGGAAACCACCAGCCGTGCTGGCCACTGAGTGGACATGGGAGGTGTGGGGGAAACACGAGATGCTGTTGGAGTCTGCAGTTGGTGAGGCTGAGGTGACAGAGGGAGCGTCAGAGGACAAATCTGTGGGAAACAATGCCTTTCTGAAATAAGATAAACGTGAGGTGCTGAGGAAAACTCACATGAAGATATTCAGCGAACACGAGCAGATCTAACTGCAGAGACCAGATGGGGGTCAGTGAGAAGCAACGCTGGGGAGCCCGGCTCCTGGGCCGTGAGCTCTCGCAGCACTGCTTTCACTGGGTTCAAAACTTCTCATAGGTTGGGTTTTGTTTTCATTGAGTTCGAAGTATTTTCTAATTGTTGTTCCCCCAGAGATGAAAATGTAAGGCACAGAATTGCATAAGATGTCCCAGGGAGAGGAAACATAGGATAGAGTTGAGAGCAGAGCACTGACGAATGCCTACGAAGAGGGGCAAAAAGCAAAAGCCAAGCTAGAGAAGGAGATGAGAATCCGAGGTGTGGAGCGGCTGTGCCTGCCCTCCCTCCACAACAGATCGTCCCGTGGGAAGCTGGGCACTCGGCCACCCAGGAATGCTTCCATGCCTCCCTGGTAGCAAGTGCGACTGAGCTCTGGCCCACAGCCTGTGCTACCTCCAGGAAGTGTCCTTAGAGAGGGGCGTGCGCCAATCTTCGCTTTTCCTGCTGGCTGGAAAGCAGATGTGAAGGCTGACGCAGCTGGCTGGAGCCAGGAAGAAGTAGTCTCCATGAGGAAGGCCTGACCCTCATCAGTGGAAGACGACACAGAGGGTCTGAGTGATGATGGGGGTGCTGCCATCTCCGCGGGAGCTACTCACATTTGGGGAAGGCAGAAATGCACTTCTAGCCTATTTCAGTCACTGCAGCCATATTATTTCGAGATCTCCGTCACTAAGCAGCAGGATCTTATCGTAACTACCAAAAGGAGCAGAAATGAGAAATTCTAGGAGCCAGAGGAGGTAGGCTGGAAACTCAGAGACGCTCGCCTCAGACAGGGCAACCGGGGGTCAGTGTGGGAACTCTGAGGCCACTGTGTGTGCATGTGTGTGTACACACTTGGAGGGGCTCAAGAAACTGTGAGACAAAGGCTTCCACGATCTGCTACAGGGTTGGCACTAACCAAGTCACCTCCAAATCCCACATCTTCCATTTGGAAGATGGAGAAAGTCAAGCTCAGGTTTCAATTAGTTTCCCAAGGTCAGGATCAACCACTGGTCGCCTCAGTCTCCTGGCTAGACCCCAGCCATCTCACGCGGTTACAGTGACACACTATCAACACGGCTAGAGAGAGAATCAGTGCCTACTACGTTCGTGGCATCATTAAGTTTAAAAGACTGTTTGGAAATATTTCAGAAATATCAAAAACAATCATAAACAACAAATACAAATCCTAAAAAATGACAGTGAAGACTTCCACAGTTCTTAGCTAAAAAATGCATTTTAATGTTAAACAGAATAAAATTTTTAAAAACTTTTCATTGGTAACAGAAAACTGTTAATACAGCAACAGTCATCACAATCAGTAATAAAAACAAGTTTACCTCAGCAGTCAGGAGTCTTTTTGGACACCTGTTAAGTGTCGCAAAAACATTCCTAAGTCCAGTTTCTAGTTGTGTCAGCAACAATATGGCACAGTCAGCAAACCTATGAAATTGAAGGGAAAATAGGTAAAATTCCATGTTTTGAAAGTAAGTATTAGGCCAGGTGCAGTGGCTCACGCCTGCAATCCCAGCATTTTGGGAAGCCAAGGTGGGAGGATCGCTTGAGGCCAGGAGTTCAAGACCAGCTTGGGAAAACCCATCTCTACAAAAAATTTAGAAATTAGCAGAGTGCAGTGGCACTGTCTGTAGTCCTAGCTACTCAGGAGGCTGAGGTGGGAGGACTGCTTGAACCCACGAGTTCAAGGTTGCAATGAGCTATGATTGTGCTACTCTAGCTTGAGTGACAGAGTAAGACCGTCTCTAAGTAAAAAACAAACAAGCAAAAAACAAAAATAATATTGACACCAACATCACAGTAACTGCTGCAGTCTACATATCAAAGGCAAAGAGAAATTATAATACCTGATAATATGAGAAGCAAAACAGAACCAGCTGGGCGCAGTGGCTCAAGCCTGCAATTCCAGCATTTTGGGAGGCTCAGGTGGGCGGATCACGTGAGGCTAAGACTTTGAGACCAACCTGACCAACGTGACGAAACCCAGTCTCTACTAAAACTACAAAAATCAGCCCAATGTGGTGGTGCTTGCATGCCTGCAGTCCCTCATACTTGGGAGGCTGAGGCACAAGAACAGCTTGAAACTAGGAGGCAGAGGATACAGTGAGCTGAGATTATACCACTGCACTCCAGCCTGGGTGACACAGTGAGACTCTGTCTCAAAAAAAAAAAAAAAAAAAAAAACAACCACACACACATAGAACCAAAGTTTCATTAAGTAGTGATTTTAAAAAAACCTTCCAGTGTTTTAATTTTTGATGAACCATTTTTCGTAGGTTCTATAGAACAAAATGTCATCAAAGAACTGTCTAACTCATTTCATTGCTTCTAGAAAATACTGAGGCTGGGCGCAGTGGCTCACTCCTGTAATCCTAGCACTTTGGGAGCCTGAGTCAGGAGGATCACTGAGCCCAGGAATTCAAGACCAGCCTGGGCAATGGACTGAGACCTCATCTCTAGAGAAAGTACAAAAATTAGCCAGGCATGGTAGTACACACTTACAGTCCTAGCTACTCAGGAGGCTGAGGTGGGAGGACTGCTTGAGCTCAGGAGTTCAAGGCTGCAGTAAGCCAAGATGGTTCCAATGCACTTCAGCCTGGGTGACAGGGTGAGACCCAGTCTCAAAAAGAAAAAACAAAAATGCACACACCAGGATTTCAGTGGGTTCTCAAGGCATAAAAATGAATGAACTAGGGTAATATCCTTTAAGGAACTAAAGACCAGCTCACCAGACCTTCTGGTGGCGACCATACACGTGTTTGCTCCTGAGGAAATAGAAACAGAATGCAAGGACAAAGCTGGCTTATCTCTGTTTCATGGTTCTGAACATGTTTTGCTCATTCTAAGAATTCCAGAAAATATTAAAAAGTGGATCCTAAGAAACAATTCTATCAACTGCACCAAAAGGCCAGCACAAAATGTTTAAGATACAATCACAGGCTGTCCTTGAAGCAACTCTATGAAGGTGTTTTATTTTCAGGTCTGCTCAAGTCAGTCCAGCTTCTCTTCACTCCTACTCCAACAGCAAAAAGCATCGAAAGTGAAGGGCATCAAGAAAGAGTGGCCTCCAACCACTGCAAACCACTCTGCCATGCACCCTTCAGTTACCTGTGTGACTTGAACTTGACCAGTGCAACTTCCCAATATGGTAACATGATTTTTAATATAAAAGCAGATTTCGTCATCGCTTCTTCTAATACTGAGAGCACCTCATAAGTAACATCTGTAAAATAACATACAGTTTTAAACACAATCATAATGATCAACTGGAAAAAGACAGAAACACGCTGGAGGAGTGAGGCCAATGAGCCAACCGCTTTAGGTGGCTGAACTGTGACCCCTGCAGCAGGGGACTTGTTAGAGAGTAGGATTGCCCTGACCAAGGGCCTGAGGTGCAGGTGACCCTTGGAAAGTGGGGCATGGACAGCTCTTCAGTGATTTAGGCAACAGTTCAGGGTGGACCAACTGAGCACAATGACCAAGAGAAGTAAAATACATTTTCAGAAGGTGTAAAAGACCCTTGATACTACTATAAGTATTTCTGGTATAACAATCATGAGTACAAAAATACAAGAGATAAAAGGAGGAGAAAATGTACATCATCCAACAGCCTGAGACCACTGCTGCGCATAGTGCATCTGAGGAAGAAAGAGCTTGACTCACACAGCTGCACTTCCTGTGACCCCCACAACCACCCCCGGGCATGGTAGGAGGAGGCAGGGCTTTGGGTGGCAAAATGTAGGAGGTTCTTCAAGCACCTCTGAAAGCCATCCGACTACTGAAGAGTAACTACTTCACCCCACCTCAAGAGTGCACCTCTTAATGCTGTTTACTGACTTTGCAAATATCTACGTAGAGCTACATTAAGGAAGAAATGTGAAACGTAGTACTTACCAGGAAAAACAATCAAATCCTCAAGGTTTGTAGGAGTTATGAAAGAGCGATGTGCCAATGTAAGTTTAGTTTTTTGAAGGTAACTCTTCAGTAACTGACCCAATCCTGCTGTCAACAGCATCATCATTGAACAGTATCTAGGGGAAATACCATAGAGATCTGTTACAAAAATGTACTCAATCATGCCTATAAAAAGCTTCACTGTGAAAAATACAAATTTAAAATTAAGAAAGCAAAGCACCATTAAATTGCATGAAACTGGCTGAGCACGGTGGCTCATGCCTGTAATCCCAGTACTTTGGGAGGCCGAGGCAGACAGATCACTTGAGTTCAGGAGTCTGAGACCAGTCTGGGCAAAAAGGTGAAATCCTATCTCTACAAAACATACAAAAAAGTTATGTGGGCATAGTGGCGCGTGCCTATAGTCCCAGTTACTGAGGAGGCTGAGGCAGGGGGATCACTTAAGCCTGGGAGAGGAGGTTGCAGTAAGCTGAGAATGCACCATGGCACTCCAGTCTGGGTGACAGAGTGACACTCTATCTCAAAAAAAAAAAAAAAATTGCCCAAAATTCTCTAGAGGTAGGAATTAGGCTGTGCAAGAGTTGGGAGGCACAATAACACCACAGAAACTCTGATGAAGACCCTAATGAAACCTCAGGGTCTTCCACCCACCCAGGACGTGAATGGCATAACATCCTTCTGGTGTCGCCCCTGAACTGCCTTTGGGGTGTAAGTCACTGAAACCATAACCCGGTCATCACTCTGGTGACTACACTAGTAATACTCAATTTCATCTTCAAAATCCTATCTCAAAACTCACTCATGTTTCACAAAATCTATTTCTTTCTCATGAAATTCAGAATTTAAAAAACTCTTTGGTAGATCCAGAAAAGGAAGAAAATTCCTTCACTTGAAACTTACTTTGGAGGAACTTCTTCAGGGGACGCAAACCCATGCCATAAGACGTTACGCAGGTTGAGACCACACGGAGAGCCAACGAAGACTTTTAGCACATTCATCTAATCCGGTTAAGGACAGCAAATCATTACACAGTTAATTATTATTGAATTACTGAATAAACCAATATACTATGAAGATAATATTTCTGCTCTTTTTAACGGACAGAGCCCACAGTTTTGGCTATACAGCAGTAATAATAATAAAACCAACATTGAGTGTTTAATATGTGCTAGACACATTTTATATGTATTCATCAACTCACTCATCCTAAGAACAACCTACAAGGAAGGTACTACTATTATCCCCAGCATCTAGGTGAAAAAAATACAAGCATGGAAAGGTGAAACCAAGGTCTCAAAGGCTACAAAATCAATATGGGGGATAAGATCCAACCCAGGTTATCCTGCTTTAATAAAGTGCTTCAAATGTGCCTAACATCCAAATAAAATTTAAAAAGACAATGATATGACAAGCAGAAACATATCACTGTATTAAGCAGCATGCAATTGTATGGTTAAGCAGAGGCAGCATGACTCCAGGCTTGAGCCTCCACTTCCTAGCTGTCTGACGTGAAGCCCATCACTGATCCACCCCACCATCTATTTACAGAGTGAAGAAAACACCCAACCAGGGGTCCTACTTAATGGACTACAATCACGCCATGCCCAGAGAACTGCTTTGGGTTTGAGGCACCATACTTAGAAGAAACTCAGAAAATAACGGAAGATGTTCAAAGACTAAAAGAACTTAAAACCCTGTCATAGGAGAAAGAATAGTTGAGCCTCCAGAAGACTCGAGAAGGAAGTGAACATTGTATTCATGCATGTGAAAGATGGCTGCTGAGAAGGGAATGTGGATGCATTCTGAACTTCCCTCAGAGGGGAGACCCAAAACCAGGAGGTGGAAATGATCAGGAGCAGCTCTACTGAATGTAGGAACGTTTAACAAGCAGTTCTTCTATGCAGCTTCAGGAGACCTTTTTGCTCTACCAATAATTTATGAAATATTCATGGTTCACACTATCTGGTCAATCAGATGTATAAATGGCAGTGACCAAGTAAAAGTACCTGGCAGCTGAAGGGGCCACAAGTGGGCAGAAGGCCAATCACATATAAGCAAGTACCAAAGAACAGATCAAAGAAACAAAATGTATTTAAGAATTCAGTGTAACAGCCGGGCGCCGTGGCTCAAGCCTGTAATCCCAGCACTCTGGGAGGCCGAGGCGGGCGGATCACGAGGTCAGGAGATTGAGACCATCCTGGCTAACATGGTGAAACCCCGTCTCCACTAAAAAATACAAAAAACAAACAAACAAACAACTAGCTGGGCGAGGTGGCGGGCCCAGATACTTGGGAGGCTGAGGCAGGAGAACGGCGTAAACCCGGGAGGCAGAGCCTGCAGTGAGCCGAGATCCGGCCACCGCACTCCAGCCTGGGCGACAGAGCGAGACTCTGTCTCAAAAAAAAAAAAAAAAGAAAAAGGAAAAAAAAAAAGAATTCAGTGTAACAACAAAAGGTTTGCACTTTTTATCTTCATTCCAAGCTCTCCACAAAAGAAAATGATCTTTAAGCCGACAAGCAGTAAAGACCCACAGAAATGAATGGAAAAGCTCCACTGAAGACAGATTTCTTTACTCCAAAAATCATCTGGCAGCTTCCTGGCTTGGCAAGCGCAGCTTCCACATAAGGCTCTCCTGGGTTTCTTCATCTTGACCCTGCCTCACTCAGTTGCATAAGGATATTCATTAGTCTTAAGTCTCTTGATCATGTGCCCTTTAGGAGATTTTAATATAGTATGTAACTGCATGATTTTTTTAACATCTGAATTTTTTTTCCACTGTAAGTTTAAATGGTTGCAAAAGGCATAATTTCACGTTAAAATTTTCAAATAAAACCATATTATCACTCATTTAAAGGGTTAACATTGTATTCTGGATTATTATAGTTAATAATATGTAATTGATCGAGGCAACATGCTTCACACTGGTCCTGTGGTGCCCCAGAGTTATTCACACTTGGGATAGGAAAGCTTTCTACGAGCTGGAGGAGGGGCAATTTTGAAAGGGAAGGTGGGAAGGAAGAATATGCTTGAATCACTGATACTATTTTTTCCTAAAGCATCATCAATTTGGGAGGAACAAAAGCATAGCATATGTGAATTGTTGTTTTGCACTTATTCCATGATATGGTTTGGCTGTGTCCCCACCCAAATATCAACTTGAATTGTATCTTCCAGATTTGGAAGATACAAGTTGTGGGAGGGACGCAGGCGGAGGTAGCTGAGTCATGGGGACCAGTCTTTCCTGTGCTATTCTCGTGATAGTGAGTAAGTCTCATGAGATCTGATGGGGTTTATCAAGGGTTTCCACTTTTGCTTCTTCCTCATTTTTCTCTTGCTGCTGCCATATACGAAGTGCCTTTATCTTCCTACCATGATTCTGAGGCCTCCTCAGCCATGTGAACCTGTAAGTCCAATTAAACCTGTTTCTCTTCCCAGTCTCGGGTACGTCTTAATCAGCAGCATGAAAACGGACTAATACACTCCATGAGTTTAGATGAACAAGCTTACCACAGACTGCCCGAAGACTTGAGCAAGTTCCACAGATGCAAGCAGATCTCTTAAAAGAAAGGGGCATTCCTTCCCAATCAGTAAAAATACCTAAAATTCAAACAAAAATTGTGTAACAGTTGCATTAAAAGTCAATAAACATTAAAAACATTATCCATGAAGCAACTGTTTGTACAAATGAAGGGTGAAAAGTACTTAGACACCAATCCTTTGATTTCATAATCATTCAAAAGGGAAATATTAAAAATGTATACCAAATGATTTTATGTTATAGGAAAATAAGAAATCTGAGGACAACTGTAAAATAGCTTAATGTTCATTCAGACAATTTAATGGGCCAATAATGGAAGAGTTCTCGCACTTACATCACCCAAGGCTCGTTCCAGGCACGATGTCAGTTTCATTAAGCTAAGAGAAATAGCGGGAGATTGTAGACTTTCCAAGGCATCAAATATTTCAGGAAATAACTATTTAGAATAAAACATATATTAGGATGTACACTCCAAAACTACTTCTCAAAGTAACATTATTTATTGAAATTCAAACCTCGAGAGATTTCAACTGCTATATTTTGTTATTTTCAGCAAATAAGTAAACATTTTCTGTATAATTATATTGCTTAAAGAATCAATAAAAATATTTTAATAGCTAAAGAATTCCTTGAAAGTTCTTTATTTAAACATTTATTGAAAGCAACAAATCTGGCATAATTTAAGTGGAAAAGTCAAGCATTTCGACCTCCATCGTGTTTCTCCTTTTGATTTGGCTGAGTCCTCAAACAGATACACACAAGGCAGCTCATCCTGCCACTTAAAAGCGCTAGTACAAGGGGGACATGATGATTCCTTCACTCCAAATTCAAAGCAGAATTAGACTTGTTACAGTTACTGCTTTACTGTGGTCATTTAGTGTGCCAAACAAAATGAAGAAAAACTGACCAAAAAAACAAACGAAAACAAGATTTTGGGTTGGGGCCCAAATTACCCATATTCCCTTCAGTTCCCCATTAACAAACCAAGTATCCCAGCTCTGGTCTCCAGGCCTGGCTGTCTTAGAACACCTCAATACCTCTCCACAGGGCCTCTTATTCTGGAGTGGTCAATTTTTCTTCTATCCCTGGACGAGCACTATGTGCCAAATGTTAGCTCTCCAACCGCTAATCCTGTGATAATGAATTCAAAACCTTTCTGTGTTCCAAAGGGCATGTTTCTCAGCTCAGGGTTTGGAGGCCTGGCATAACAGCCCAGGGTTTTCTTGCAACCCTCGACACTTCTTTCACAGCTGGAGGGCCTGGGGATGAAGGAAGCCCCTTTAAAATTGGCAAATAATAAGTCCTCTAAGTAGTATTTGCACAGTCTTTTATTTCTAAAGGTTGTTCAAAAGCCAAACCTCTGGAAAACTTGTCCACTGGAACCACGGTGCATATCGAATTTCAAATTGCCCCTTGGTCAAAGATAAGAAATGTGAATGGACAGCCTCACACACAGGGCCAAGCAGCCTCACGCTTCCCCAGTAATCCAGACCCTGATCTTAAAGGATAAGAAAACAAATTTCAGCACCATAGCTCCATATCATGTGATATAAAATATGTATATCATCAAAGAAAAAATGCTTTAATTATAAAATTTCCAGAAAATCAACAATTAGCTTATCATTGAACATATGATATACTTTTACATTGTTGGAAATAAATCACATAATGCTTATCAGGTTATGAAAGAAAACTATACTATCAGCAGAGAATTTGGAAAATACAAAAAGTTTCAAACAAGAGAAAACTATTTTTGTCAATGTCTTTACCTGTACATAAGAATACAGAAAACCAGGCTCACATTGTATATACAATTTTGTAACCTGGTTTTTTTTTAAGTTAAACCAGGCTCACACTGTATACACAACTTTGTAACCTGACTTTTTTAAGTTAACGTTATTAGACTGAGATTTCTAATGGCAATGAATTGTTTTAAACGTATTTATCATATGAAGTTTTTGTTTTAATTTTTTTTTTGATAAGTTTGGCATTAACCATCCGCTTGGTTCATCATCAATAAATACCAAAGGGTAATTACAAATACAAGCCCGTCCTATTTTTTTTCCAACTTAGCTCAGAGACTTTTGTATCAGATGAGCCTCCTCACTCTTTTGTACCACTGCATAATATTCCATTATATAAATTTATCATAATTTACTGAACCAATCCCCTATTGCTTGATGTTTGGCTGTTTATTTATTTAGCTGTTACAAACAATGCTGCAAGGAATAACCTTGCACAATCACACTTTCATATCTGTATCTTTTTTTTTTTTTTTTTTTTTTTTTTTTTTTTTTTTTTTTTGAGGCGGAGTCTCGCTCTGTCGCCCAGGCTGGAGTGCAGTGACCCGATCTCAGCTCACTGCAAGCTCCGCCTCCCGGGTTCCCGCCATTCTCCAGCCTCAGCCTCCCGAGTAGCTGGGACTACAGGCGCCGCCACCACGCCCGGCTAATTTTTTTTTTTGTATTTTTAGTAGAGACGGGGTTTCATTGTGTTAGCCAGGATGGTCTCGATCTCCTGACCTCGTGATCCGCCCGTCTCGGCCTCCCAAAGTGCTGGGATTACAGGCTTGAGCCACCGCGCCCGGCCATCTGTATCTGTCTTAAAGATTCCTGAAAATGGACTGCTAGGCCAGAGTATGTTCATTTGTAATTTTTATAACTATTATTAAATTTCCACATCTATATCTCTGCTCCAAAGTGTGCAAGAATGCCTAGAAGACATTTAAAATAACTGTATAATCTATTACTGGTCATTTTCTACCCTTAATTTATATGACTCCTATGGAGAATCATCTCAAGGCCCTGAGATCTACATCATCAACAGTCCACCAGCCCCTCTCTGCCTCCTGACACCTCCTCTGTAGAGGAGGTTTTCTCAGCCCAGCTTTCCATTAATTTCTCCATGCTTCTCTGTACTCATCCCTTCTCTTTTCACATTAATTTCTGTTCTCCTTTGGAGTGAGGCCTGTATTATAACATTATCTAACAAAAGGAACCAGTGGTCAGAAAGGGGAATTTTACAGGTCAAGACATTTTCAATGGAACAGTTATGAAAGTCTGGAGTACAAAGACAGCACAAACCTGACTCTGTGTAGCTCACACAGTCTGTGATTGTTTTCCAGCATACTTCACCATTCTGAGCAACAATGCTATTGATATCACAATTTTCTCTGAGTTGAAACCCAAGATTACAAATTATATCATACACTGAGGGAGAAAGACATGTGGTAATAGGGTCCCCTATTAATACCTAAAAAAAATAAAATAAAAGGCACTGCTTAACTGAAAGAAAAACAGAGGATTATATATTTAAGTCACAAGAAAATTCTTTAAGAACTCAGTGCACGCAGGTATAGTTGCTGTTAACATGCTTTCTGGATATCATGAAAGTTCTATGATTAAAACATTGTGATTAAATATTAAAGATAATTTGGCCGGGCGCAGTGGCTCAAGCCTGTAATCCCAGCACTTTGGAAGGTCGAGGCGGGTGGATCACGAGGTCAGGAGATCTAGACCTTCCTGGTTAACACCGTGAAACCGTGTCTCTACTAAAAATACAAAAAAATTAGCCAGGCGAGGTGGCGAGCACCTGTAGTCCCAGCTGCTTGGAAGGTTGACGCAGGCGAATGGCATGAACCCGGGGGGTGGAGCTTGCAGTGAGCCAAGATCGCGCCACTGCACTCCAGCCTGGGCGACAGAGCGAGACTCGGTCTCAAATAAATAAATAAATAAAATTTACATAAATGTTCTCAAATATGATAAAGGTTTAAAGACTTAAAATGATCAATCATAATATTTGCAAACTGCTCTGCCTATGGGGTAGCCATTCTTTACTCCTTTACTTTCTTAATAAACTTGCTTTCCTAAAAAAAAAAAGAAAAAAAGATATGAGTTCATGGAAGCTGAATGTATTTTACTAACAGAGCATTATTCCTCTCAGCATTCCTTCACTATCCTAGAGTTATCAAAATAAGCAGTTTTTTTAAATGGGGAATGGGAGAGCAGAAACCAAGTATAATGAACAAGAAGGAAAAAGAACCCCGCGTACCTCTGACTCCCTAAACGGTGTTGGAGAAAACTACAATGTCATCCCAAAACATGCCTCTTTGATGTAAAAACAACAACAAATTGGAGCTGAAGACAAGAGGCAGCAAATGAAGGAAAAGCTCTCTCTCCTCCCCCTCTTCCACCGAAACACAGGATATATATTCTTTACTGGGGATAACTTTAGACTCTTACCAGACCAGAGAAAGTACCAGAGGAATGTGCAAACAATTTTTACTCCATCAGTTTTCAAATATGTATCTACTTTCCCAGTTTCTTGTCCTTTGAAGCCTGAAACTGCTCTCCTGTGTCGTTTCTCTGCAAATCTATAGTTCTTTGTTGAAGATGGTATACAAATGTAGTTCTAAGCCACCATTTCAAGTTACTTTTCATTGAGGTTCATCCCTTGTGATGTGTACTCTGTACATTAATAAACCTTTTTCTTATTAACCTTTCATTTGTTAAAGGGGTCACTCTGAACTAACATGGGCAGAGGTAAAGTTTAGCCTTCCCTGCCATGTAAAAAGTAGCAAACCGTACTGGTTTTCCATGGAGAATCAAATAAAATCAAAATCCTTACGACTATCCCACGTGACACTAAGACCATCTATAATCCTGCAAAGAAGTCAAATTCAGGATCCAAAGCTGAACCGAGGCTCTTTATTTTGGTGTGTCGAGTTAAGGAGTGGCTGTGTTGTGACAGTCACAATTAACTCTGGGCAGCTTTGTAAAGTGGAAACTGATCAGTCTGAGTTCCCTGGTCCTGCTCAGTATCAGTTGCCCTGTTTGCTCCTCCTGTCCCCAGAAGTTGCACTTTCCACTCTCAGCCCTACTTTTTGAACAATCCCAGTAGGCGCTAACAATTAAGTCATCACTAAAGAAATCGGCATGAACTATTTTTGAATGGTGATTGTCACTCGCATCCTCCATTGGGCTCTATGGGGCTGGAACTCTGCAGACTACACTAGGCCAGTGCTTTGGGGCTGGTCTTAAATTTGAATCATTCCTCAGTCTCTGACTACCTCTTGCCTTGGAAAACTTACTTTATCCGAATGTCAGTTCTAAGTGAAATAAAACGGTGCCAGGCTGCACCTTGTAGGGCTGCAGTCATCAG